CGGGGATGCTGACCTGGTGCCATTCATTTCGGTGTCCCAGCACCCTCCCAGACTCCCAGTCCCTGCTGCATCTGCTCTGAGAAGCCCGTGGCTGGGTTAGAGATGAATGTCTCCCTGAGCTGCCCAGTGACACTCGATTCAGTCCTCTTGCGCCGTTCCAGAGGCACTGCGAGGGATGCTCCTTTGTGCATTTCCAGGATCCCGCAGAAAAGCTGAGCAGCAGGCAACACGGTCTGCAGCAACTCCCTGAGGTTCACAAAGCCATTCACATCGCTGGCTCCCTCCGCCCACGAACACCTGCCTTCCCTTCACACCTTCTAGCGGGAGAGCTGTGCCGCAGCCATGCCTCACCCCGCCGGCCAAGCCAGGCAGTATTGAATGGGGAAACAAAGGCAGACAGATCAACTTACCTCCCCAAGGCTGCCTGCCCAACGCTCGCGTGGTCTTACCCGGGGAGGCTGCAGCTCTGGCAGGAGGAAGGCGTCATCCTGGCGAGGGTCCATGCACTGTGCTGTGATGTGGCCAGCGACTCCCCAACGTGGGTGTGGCACAAAGCATTGTGGCCAAAGCCAAGGTGCCTGAGCTGAGGCAGGACTCGCATGCTCAGCCCCTGCACAGCGCAAGACGGGGAGAAGCAGGAGCTCCCCTTTTGTGGGGGCTTCAGTGGGGCACCCAGGACACTGAGGCAGCCCAAAGCACTGGTCCCGGGGAGCCCCGATGTCTGTGGGGGTCGAGAGTGCAAACCCTGGCAGCTGCCACAGCATGGGGACCGCTGCGGGGACTGGAGGGGGAAGCCGAGGCTGGATTCCCCTGAAATCTGGGCACGCCCTGAGGGGAGGCGGCTCCGTCCCACTCTGAGGGGCAGCCCCGGTGCCGCCTCGCTGGGGGTTAATCCAGCCTGGGCACCCAGATCCCGCCTATGTGACACTGGGAGGATGCATCCCATGGTGCCTGGCACTGAGCCACTCTGGTTCACTCCAGGGGGATGGGAGCCCAGCTTGTCTGTCCTGCGCCCACACAGTGGGGATTGTGGGAAGGCTCTGGAGGACTGGAGCCATCACGTGAGGGGACTTAAAAGCAGCGCCCAAGAGTGATGCCGTTGAGGCCTGGTTTCAGCATGGCCAAACTCTGGGGAGGGCGGTCCGTGTGTGGACAACAGAGGTTTAGAGTCCTGCAGCCGCGATGCAATCCAGCCCCTGCCCCACACACGCTGGCAGGGGACGGAGGGTTTCCCAGCCCCTGGCCTCTGGCATGATTTGCTCGGTGTTTCACTGCCTTGCTTCACATGGGGTTTTGTCCTCTTTGGGAGCCTCGCTGGATGTGGCAGGGCCGGCTCTGTGGAGTCACAGCAAGGCAATGACCATTCCCTAAGCACCTGCTTTGAAACTGAGGGGAGTGAAACGAGGCTGGATCTTTTCACGGGTGACTCCCCTCCCCCATACCTCCTATACGGATGAAGCAAGCAAATGGTGAGAGAGGAGGAGGCATGGAGAGGGCGAGCGACTTTCCCAGGGTTAGCAGCAGGGTAGTGGCTGAGCCGAGTTAAAACTTTACAGGCCGGACATTCCCCACCCGTCCTAGGTCCTGGCTTCCTCTCGGAGCGTGTGGCCAGAGGCTCGTGCGCAGCGTGGGGGGTACATCTAAGCCTTTCCTTCACCCACTGTGACTGACGGCCTGGTAACCTGAACTGAACACAGACCAGCTGCCTGCACTCTGGAAGCCCGGTCGCTCCTCCACCTGGTACACACATGCATATCCATGGGACAGAGGCACTTGCCCGCCTGCCCTTTTGATCCAGTAATTACTTGCCTTGACAACAGGCAAAGGAAACACAGATAAAGCAAACAGAGTTTTTCAGCCTTCTGAATAGTCCAGCAGCAGCTGCTCATGTACACCGACTTCCGTGGTTTGTAGCAACAAGCCTAATTACAGAGCCAAGGCTGAGAGATGGAGGATCCAACACGTGTCCAGTGCTGGTACCCAAGCTGCTGCTCATACCCAAAGCCGCTTGCCTCAGGCTCATCAGAGATACCGCTTTCAGCAAGGCACAGCTGCCCTACGTTGCACGGCTAGTGGTGGAGGTGCGCGCCATTTGCACTGACTTCACTTCCCCTGGGATCTACTCCTGGGATTTGTACCGGCGGCTGTGTCCCACCTAGGAAATGGGCAGCATGGCCAGAACCAGGACACCAGCTGTGGGGGTGTTGTGGGGCAGATGACAAGCTGTATGGCCCTCCCTGAGGGATGGTCCGGTTTGCCCAGACCGAAGGATGACTGCTGCATGCACGTGGTTTGTGGCTGCCGCTCGGAGCGTGCACAGGGCCTGAGCTGGGCCGGCACTCCTGGGTATGCCTGCACTGCACGATACAGTGCCATGGAGATATACCCGGGCTGAAAGCCATATAGCCAGGTTAGCCCTGCTGAGGAAAATCACAGCAACACAGCTACAGAAAAGCAGCTATTCTGCATCTGGCACCCAGCTAGACCTACACCCTCCCACACCATGCTGTAGACACCCTCGGCACAGCTAGTGCTTCACTCATTTACTTTCCACTGGAAAAGCAGTTAACAAGACTGCTTTTCCAGTACAAAGCAATTCCTCGTTACCTGTCTGAGCTTACAGTGAGCTTTCAGGGGCAGCCTGCATTGTGAATTCAGGGCATTCAGCACTTGGCAGGATTAGACCCTCCTTGCACAGAGGGTGACTTGCTCTCAGCCTGAAATCCAACAGTTAATGACAGGCCTGTATCCATTCGGCTGACATACCCAGGTAGCGACAGCCCAGCACGCCACATCTTAGTACCCCCGTTATTTTCAGAGCTGGGGGTGGAGCACAAGGGCGACCTCAGCACTCTCCAAACACCCCAGAGCAGTGATTCTCAACCAGGGTGCCATGGCACCCTGGGGCGCTCTGAGATCTTTTCAAGGGTGCTGCACAATGTTAGCACTGCTAGTTGCATAGACACAATTCACCAGATAAACAGAGATTTCACATAGGAATCCATAGTGTTAAAAACAGTCTGACCTGCTGCCGTTTCTCCAAGTCCTTTGCAACACAAGAATTGCTCTATTATTTTTCTGCAGTCAAAAAAACTAGTGGAAACTAAGAGCTGGCATTGTCTGAGTATATCAAGGGGTGCCTCATGTCTAAAAGGGTTGAGACTCGCTGGCCTAGACTAACATACTGCTCAGACACTGATCCGACACGGTTTCAAATGGGTTTCAGAACTGAGCTCAGCAAGAATCGGATAGATATTAGAGCGCTCACCCGGGGCCACAGAAGCAAATTTGGCATTTAAGTTAACAGCATTAAATCAGCTGCGAGCTGGCAGGTTGTGGTATCACCCAGCGGGAGGGATGACTCATAAAGGGACCCGCGCATGTGTTTGAAGCCAGCGAGCTCCCTCCTTCACAGGGTTTGCTCAACGTTTTAATACTTAAAATCCTCCCTCCCAGCGAACCGTTTTCTCCCTCAAAATTACAGCCCAGTTCTTTCAGACAGCAGGGCTGATCTTAGCTTGCTTCCTGCCACGGTTACTTCTGCGTGTGACCCCGGGAGGCCTCTCTCCTTTTCAGCTCTCATGGCCCCCTTTCTTGGAGGAGGAGTTCTCCTCCTTGTGCTACTCTGATAATTCACTCTCCCGGCGTGGGCCAGACCCCCTGCCGCCTGCCAATCTGGGCACAGCCACGCAGCTATGTTGAGAGAAGTCTCCCCCACAGGAGCACTCCTGGGAGCTGGGTTGCCTGGCAAAGAGGGCTGGTGAACATCCAGGCTGGCCACTGGAAAAGGTGGAAGTTATAGCTACAAGGGGTTGTTGCACTTACGGCTGGGCAGAAATGGGGATGAACTGCAAGGGGCAGGCATGACCCCAGCTCACCCAACTGAGGGCATCTAGACTCAGATCCAGCTCTGCTTTAGGTGGACACTGGGTATTGTCCCTTCTGCCCGCTCCCATCACCTTCTGCCTTTCCCAGCCTCCCTGCCACATCCCTCCCCTTGCTATGGAGGGATCATCTGAGGCCTGGTCCTTTCTCTGGCCATTGCCAAACCATCCCAGCTCACACCGTGCTCCCTGCAAATGCCTGAGGGCACCCCTGACCCAGCTGCATCAGCCAGAAGTCTTGTTCTTCTCTGGCTGGTCCTTGGTCTCTGATGAACAAGGGCGGTGGCTGGCTGGGCCTGCGAGGGAGAAGCAGAAGATCTGATCCCCCTCCCCTTTCATGTTGAAGACCCCAGGAAGCAAGTGGGGCATCACCATCCTGCCTTTTCTGACTTCTCCTCAACCTCGTTGAGAACAAAGCAAAGGTTGGAGAGGAGATGAGACCCAGCCCAGGGAAGTCTTCTGTCACTATGGATACAGCCTGAAGCCTGGGTACCCAGCAAGGTTTCTTTGCCTAAATACCAGGCAAATGCAAAGCTAGAAGCAGGAAAGTGAAAGGGCAGGTTCTCTGTAGATGTAAGGGGGGAAAAAAACAACAAGGGAATTTTGTAGGGAGCACTCCTGAGAGCATCATGCCCATGGCAGTGCTAGGCTTCCTGGAGATGCTCAGCAAAGAGACAGGGACAGAAACCAGCCAGAGCCAGGTCCATTCCCAGCTCTGCCACAGATTTACTGTGTCACCTTTGGCAAATCCCACTGCCTCTCAGCCCCTCACTCTCCCCCAAGTGGTACAGCAGGGTCAATATGGTCAAACAGGTCCACGCTCATTGTTATCTTGCCCAGCAATTGTTCTGCACAGTCCCCTAGGGGCTTGGACCCCATCACACAAAACCATCAAGGGAGGATCCCCGTCCCCCGAGGGCTGCCAGTTTAAAAGGTGACAGTGCAGGTGATAAATGGAACATAATAATGACCTCCGACTATCTTTAAACTAAAAAAAAATAAAAATTACCAGTCAACCAAACGTCTCCTTGCCTTGATGCCGACTGGTACAATCAGTCCCTTTTGGCAGGTCTCCACTGGTACACGATCTTGGGAGGAAAAATAGAGAAGCAGGTCCATGGTTTTAATATTTGAAAACTTTATTTTCTCAAATGAGCACCAACACATATTGTAAATATGACAAACAATACGCCTCCCTCTAATACTGAAGAACTATGTACAATGTACAAATACATGAAAAGGTGAAAACAAATTATCTGAAAAAACAAACAAACAATTGCATTTCTCACCAAAGCAAATGACCTGAAAGAATATGCCAAAAAATAAAATTAAAATAAGATCAGAGAAATTAAAATATACACAGTTTGTAAACACGAGAGCATCAACAGACAGGCTGGTATCAGAAATATCGTCTCTTCATTTTGTCAGTGGGGAAAGCATTCCCATTTCCTCATGAGAAACAGCACAAAGGAGTCCGTAACAATGAGAATAGCTTATTTGTGATTGTACCTTACCCAGCGCCATACTGCTTAAACACGCTGATTTTGTTTCAGAATTAAATGCTCTGCTCAAACGCTTTTCTGCTTGCTCTCTGCAAGCAGAAGTCTTCAAAATCAGCGCGGAACATGATCGTCTCCGAGCTTTCCCACAGCCAGCGGGAAGAGCTTGGAGCGGAGCTCTGCTTCTTGCAGATCTGTTCACCCAACAGGGGGTTTGCACATAACCTGTTCATCCAAGAACCACCTCATACAGAACCATGATGCTTCTTCCGATATGAGGAAGTGCAATGAAATGCATGATTAATACACTCACATATCATTAGAAAAACGCATACAGAGAAAGTTCGTATTTGATCATCACAAGAACGACAAGTTTCATTTGCAGATTTTTTTTTCGTTTTTCTTTTTAAAACCTGTGCACCAAAGAGAGGAAAGGAAAGAGCGTGCGACAGCTACTCAGCACTGCAAACAGCTCCTCACGCAGCAAGCACAGTCCAGCGGTTTGTGCTGTTGGTCCACTTTGAGATCAACAAAAAGACCCAATGAAATACAGACAAATAAAGGGGGAGAAAGACAGAAAAGAAGACGGAAAATTAACTTGACCGCCAGAGATGTAAACGTTTACTGTAATTCAGCACATAGAAGCCTGGTTTCAAAGGAAACATTGAACCAGGATCCCCATCCAGAAAGATTTGTTTTGTAGTTTCAAAAGTTTGACTAGTTCAGTTTTTCCATCCCCCACCCGCTGCTCCCCCAAGCAACTGGAAACAAGAGATGCGGAGGTTGCCGCACAAATCCACATCCCCAGTTTACATCTTTGTTACTTATGTCATTCTGGCCAATACTGGTGCAAGAGAACAGAGCAGGCCCACATGCTGCCATGAGATCTACTCGGGCAATCGCATCTGCCCAGACAGAGCCCCACTGACTTCCGCAGGGCTCCGCGTGGGACCGAGGGTCTTCTCCCGTACATCGAATTGGAGGACCGAGGTGGGAGGCATGCAGTCAGGGAGGAGCTGAGGCATGTGAGTCACTTCAAACATGCGAGCACTCTCACCTGTCTAAGGTTACACACCTACTTCAGAGCCTCCCTGGACAGGGACCTCTGCTTGCAGCCTGGCAATGGCCTGTATAGGAGGGAAATTCTGTAGAATGGAACCAGAAATGATTCCTCCCCCCTACCATGCCCAGATGGAAAGTGTATTGACTTCCGAAAACAGCACGTAATTAGGATGGTTGTTTCCCTTTCAACAGATTTTCCAACAAAGAGAGAGGAAACGGTATAATTTATCAACAAAACAAAGCAGTGCTCTCCGGGAGGGGCTCCGAGAAAACAGCACCAAATATATTATTTTTTTTAAAAAATTAAATATTATTTACAAAAGTAGATTTCACAAGATAACGCTCGCTATGTTCGGTATATATTATCATCTCAACAGCTAGTGCAGGGGGCGGGATTTCACACATGATAAACCACCAGGGCCAAATATTTAAAACCACATGTGTCTTTGGGGGGGCAAGGGGAGATGTGAGCTGAAGGGTGACCCAGGGGCCAGAGCCACAGGAAATGGAGCAGAACATGCAGCTGTTCCCACCTTCGCTGAAGATGCTGACCCTCTGGACTACCCTTCCCAGCATGCAGTGCTCCATCCTCAACTAGACATTTCATTGCCTCAGTGGGCCCAACCCTTCCCACCCTTTGATGGAAGTAACTGGCTACAGTTAGTTGACATGACCAATGGGATGCAGGTGGGGGGTTCTTTGGTTATGCTCTGACTATATTCGTTTGCAAATCATCAATTTAGAATGCACTGATTCCCATATCCTCTAGCCTCTAGATCTGGTCACTCTGTTGTGGTCATCAACTCCCAATACTGTCCCATATCTTAATACAGCAGGTTTCAGATGAGTTAGCAGTGGACTTAACATCGTAAGAAGCACTTTAGGTTTAATGGACACATGGTGGAGTACACACGTTAAATGAGCCTGGCAGGCCAGGATTACTTGTTGCCCCACACAGCGTATAAACACTGATCTGCAGCTAGGAGCGTGCGTGCACGCATAGGTGTGTAAGCCAACACACATTTTTCATAACAGGATTTAAGGCCAGGTTCTCAACTGTCGTAAACTGGGGTAGCTCCGCAGAAGGGAAAGCAGAGAATCGACACCGTCTGGCCATGGGCAAACCTACAGCGGTCGCCATTAAAAATACAATGCCCGTAAACGGTGAAAGAAGCACTGTGCAATCTTATCCATCACAGTTGTGTTTTGCACATGGGGAATGGCTTCTGCAGCTGAAGCCATGCTGCTGACTGCCCTGACCTTTAAAGCGTGCTGCAGTATTCTACATGATGGCTGCAAAATACTACAGCTTACAATGGGAAGTGGCAGCACTGAGGCTAGTATTGGAGAGCGCCGGGGTAATCTTTTTATAGGCATAGTTGGCTTTTTATTGGAGATCACTGTGCTGCCAACCTACAGTTGCAAACGTAGGAATGCTCCGCTCTCACCTTCACACAAGCTGCTTTGGGCAGTCCCTTACTTTGCCCATTCAGATCAAATCTAACAACTGTATTTTCAGAGAAGAGGTTTTCAAACCAGGTAAATGACTCCCTGCTGGCCAAAAACAGTACTATATCCCAGCTCAATAATCAGGGGAAAGGAAAATACAGAGGAGGCCAATGCCAGAGGCAACAGACTGGTAGAGAAAAAAGTCCTCGACCTTAATACCTTTCTCCCTCCCTTTGTGACAGTGGGGAATGAGGATTCAGGAAGCAGAGTCTGGCAGGAATCAGCTGAGGTGGTCTTGTTATGCAGCTGCATCAGGCAGGGTGAAGACAGAAGCCACCCTAGCATGACCAAGGAAGGCATTAAGCCCATGACTTTCCACAGCTGCAGTCAGTCTGCCTTATATTCCCTGCTCCAAGTCAGACCCACACACTGTCAGTGAGACATGGCATGTGCACAAGCACTCTTCCCATGGCCCTATCAGGCTGGGGCTTGATCACAAGTACCTGACATGAAAGCCCAGTCCTGTTTCTAACCAGCTCTTCTGCATCCAGCTCTAAATATGCCTGTGAAGTTCCCCCTAACTCCGTCCACTTGGAACAGCTAGGAAGAAAAAATGCCATTAGGTGACAATCACCAGAGGAGCTGCGAACACCTGCACGTTACTCTTCCTGACTAGATTAAAAAGGATTTTCCCCCAGTGGATGAACCTACTTGAAAGAATTCCACAAACAAAAAAGAAATTTGCTCCGAGAGAGAAAAACTAATTCAGTTAAACAGTCATGAGTGATGCACCAGATCCTGGCTGGACTTTTGTGAAGAAAGCTTCACAATGTCATTTATGTGCAACACATCTCTTCCACACGTACAATCCCTCTCCCTCACCAACAACATTGAGATAGTTCATTAAAATTAATAATCAAAACTTAAAAGAGCAGGACTTGTCTCTTGCCATTAGACATCCAACCCTCTTTTCCCCCGACAACTCCAAGGCACAAATCCTATGGGGATGTCGAGGGTCTTTGCTTCCCAAAGTATCACATCTTTTTAAAAACACCGGGGGCACGGGGACTTGGGGGATACATCAGGGCTTGAAATATCCACCTGTGCAAAATATTAGCAACTGCTGGAACCATCTGCTGTCACCTTGCATCTCCGATGGGCTCACAGAGGGGAACTGATGGCTGGGGTCAAAACATTTTGAGCAAAATCCTGTTTGCACATTTTTCTGTCGCGTTAGGATGACTGGATCCCAAGCTGTAACACTGCTCTAAGGGCACGCGGTAAGGCCAGGATAATTAAGGTTCAACCTTATAGTTCCAAGTTTGTCTACAACCCCCCATGCTTTCCTGTCACTTGCCCAACACGCACCTTGGTTCTCGCCTCTCTGTCATGCCTCCGAAGCCTAGCGCCAGCCTCTCCTACGTTACACAGTTTTGCTCCTCCTCTCAGCCGCCTGCAGGCAGGGGTGCTGAGGTCACCCCAGCTCTGCTCTGCCAGGGTGATCTACCCCTTAGCTGTGAAAGTGGAGGAGGAGGATGAGCGTGTGGGGAGTCAGCTAAGCTGTCAGCCCCCACCCCAACAAGTCGACAAAAGGCGACCATGTGGTCAGTACGAAACAACCCACCAACAGATGGTAGTAGACAGCGGATTCAGGACTTGGCTGGTGGAGGGGGTTTGGTTACCACTTGTGCTCAGCCAGCTTCATCTAAGGCTCTGCCTTTGCAGCGGCAGGCTTGAGATTCAGAGAGAACGCAGCCATGAGGTATTTTTCTGTCCGTTCAGACAAGGAGATCATTTCAAGCCTTAAAGGACTTAAAGGAAAAGCAGAGCTTCGTTTCTGATTACTTCCCCTTCTGCCCTCCCGCCCCCACCCTTGCTCTCCCCTCCTGCCCAAGACTCAGGTCTCCTTCCCACGCCGAGACCTTCCGATAAAATGCCGCCACAGAAGCCAGCTTCGGTTCGCGCTTAGACATTCGTCAACATGGAATGCTGTCGGGCATTTGGTGCATTCTCTTAGCCAACGCCAGAACAGAGAGAGAAGCAGCCAGGGTCAACTCACAAACAGATACAAAGCAAAGAGACAGAGAGACAGAAATTTAGAGGCCAGTCACCAATAAGGATGGAGAAGGGTGTGAAGATGCTCCCAGATTGCAGAGCCTCTAAATGCATGGAACCAAGCGTTCAGTCACTCTCTCACTCTTGGATATAATGTTCGGTTGGATGGCATTCTCTCACACGCCGGGTTAGCCGGGCTCCTCCTGTTCAATCCCAGCCATTATCCTTGATCATGTGAGCTAGTTCAATGATGTATTTGCCTTCTTTATACTTCTGGCTGCTCTCAAAAGCGTGTTCCTGAAGAAAACAGAGAGAAGGTGGGGTCACACAAAAGGAGACCTGAGGGGTACAGAAAAGAAAGGGCAGTCGAGTGGCGAGGCCAGGAGGTTGGGAGGCCTGGGTTTGAGTCTCAGCTCTCAGGAGGGGACAGGGTCTGGAGGTCAGCACAGAGGGACACGAATCCAAGTTTGCGCCCAGGTTTTTGGGCATCTAAGATTCTGGCCCTCAGTAAACCCCTAGCTCGTCTGGACTTCTGTTCTCTTTCAGCCTCCTGTGAAGCCAGGGGGTTGCACTCTATTTCGACTGCGTGTAGCCTGTCATAACAAGAGACTGCTACGGGGCCGGGGTACTGCTTGTACCCCTCTCTTGTAAGAGGAAGAAAGTGGCTATGCTGCTTGCTGTGAGCAAATGACTCTCATTGCTCAGGCTCGGATTTGGGCCCCATAGGAGCAGTCACGTTGTCATCCCACCTGCAAAGAGTTCTGAAAGTAAGAAAATCCTTAGGTATCACAAAGTCTGTCCTGCAAAATGGTCTCCAAGGCTCGGCTGTGTGTGTGTGTGTGTGTAACCTCGTGGGACACTTACAGAGCTCACACTTAGCAAATCACTCCCTGCCCCGATGGACACAGCTCCCTGCATGGAGCAGCTGGGGCTTCCTGCCATGCTTAAGAGAAATTCTACCTTATTTCCTGGTAAGTCCCCGGGACAAGCAAGATGGAGCAATATCCTTGTCCCTATGGGAGTGTTAAGGGATTTCCACCAAGACCAGGGCCCTTTCGCAAGGCACCGCATGTGCCTAGAGGAAGAAACAGTCTCTGCCACGGAGTGCTTGCAAATTACGTGCCCTAGCCAGATACAGATGGCCAGGGAAGTGACTGACCCCAGGTCCCACAGCAGGTGAGTGGCTAAGCCAGGACACGTACTGGGGGTGGGTTTCAGACTTGCATGTCACTGCCCTGTGCCTAGACTGTGCTGACCCCTCACACACACGCCTTAACGAAGGAACAGGGACACGTATGTCCAGGACACTCACATATTTCCAGCCCAGCGTGGTTTTGCAGTTTTCACAGTAAATGTCTGCAACCGCATGTAATCCTGTTAGTAGCACCCGCTCCTCTGCTGGGCCGCAACCCACGTTAACTCTGGGAGAGAAGGGAAGAAAAAGAGGCGGCTCCATTAACACGTTGCTTTCACTATCGGATGCTGCAATGTCATTAATGGCCATTTTGTTGCAGGGCTAGGAAAATACAGAAAGGTGTTTCTAGCGCTAGACACAACTGCCATCCCCAAGCAGCTCTCCTCTCACTGGGGGTTTTCTCCGTTTACACTGAACATTTTTACCCCAAAGCTGAGGACTAGAAAAATTCCAAGACTTCCCAGGAAGAGAAAATTGTCTGATGCTTCAGAAGAAAGTTTCCCATTTCAAACTGCCATGTGAAATGATGCAGTTTTTATTTTGATGCTCTCAAGTGGCAAAACAAAAATGTAGCCTCGATGCCCTTTTGCTCTGGGAAGCTCCATAGAAAATAGTAACTTTAACATCATTACTTTTTTTGCAAAGGGAACAAATTGGTCAAAAAAAATAATGCCGGACAGCACTAAAATATGCTAATACCTCATTCTGAACTACTACTTTATATTTACAAACTTTGGCGTTTGGTGCTTACCGCATCCCTGGAGCAGTGAGTGATGTTAAAGTGAGCTGTTTTTTTCCTCGGTGCCATGAAAAACAAACCACTTTAGCCCAGCCTTGTAGCTGAATCATAAGGTTATACAGCAGGGCTGGAAGGCACCATATGAGGTTATCTGGTCGAGCCCTCAGCCCAAGACAGGATCATCCTTGATATCATGAATATAAAATCATGTGTGAATCAGCGCTGTTTCTTTTCAACCGTTCTGCAGCGCTGATGCAAGCTCACAGAGTCTGAGCTCTGCCTTCTCACTGCAAAGAAAGAAGGCAAATCCTTCTGCTGCTTTTATCTATGGGGTTTGAGCTTTTGGGTTTTTTGTCAAAAGTCTACCCCCCAAAGATGCAGCAATGACAGTTCTGAAGTTGCACTCACACTGAGTTGAAGAGGTAGGCTCGCCCTTGGCTTCCTTGAAAGGACTGAAAGGCAAGAAAACAAAAATCAGTCATTGATAGAAAGCTGCCCTGCTTGGGAACATTCCCCACAACCTCCATAATGACCTCAAAGGAGAGACAGCAAGTTCTGAGAACTGCACATCGTCAGTGTGCCCTGGGAGGGAAGGCACCAAGTGACACGTCAGGAGAAGATGAGAACAGATCAATGAAGGTCTGCCCTTGATGTGGAAAGCGCCTGGTCTGTCTCAAGTTCTAACGGTACACATTTTAGAGGGAGCGCTGGCAGCCTCCTGAGAACTGTACCTGTCTCCTACCGCCTGATCTGATCACCACCCTCAGCCCTGCAAGCCCCCACAGTGCTCTCCAGCACTGAGGTCCTATGTTTTTTTTCTGTATTTCACCCAAAGCAAATGCTGGTGGCTTCACCTTCCTGGTTTGAGAGAATGTCATCTTCCTGTTTTTCATGCTCTAGTTGAGTCCCATTTCTCGTGGGCCCTCCACAAACTCAGCCCCCCACCAGAGCTCTTTCAGATTGCATTTCTATAGACAAAACCTAGTGTTTAGGCCTGAGCTGCCCCATGGCATCACTTCCATTTTCCAGATGCTGCTGTGGCCTTTGTGACCAGCCAACTGCACCACTGAAGGAAGCGCTCAAATCTACATTATTTCTATTATCATGATTGCAGTAATGCCCACAGACTTTGGTCAGAGATCAGGCCCTCGTGGTGCTAGGTGCTGCGCATGCACACAGACAATCTCTACTCCAGACAAGCTGTGCCGAACGTCCCCCAGACAGCATGGACAAGGTCATATCTGAGTCAGCCAGACTCTACATGTGACTCCATGCTGTAGCCTTCACACCCAGGGCATTTCTGGCTGGCTGTCTCCATCTCCCGAAGCAGCCCTGTGGAAGAGCGTTTCTGCCTCTGAGCCGATGCTCCTAACCCCTGAGCTCAGGCAGCTTGAGCCTTCAGAGCTAGAGGGATCAAACACCCACCCTACTCCCAATGCAGGGAGCCCTGCCTGGGATTGCAGCACATTGCGCTGCATGCAAAGACAATGTCATCAGAAAAAGTCTGTCTGACCCAAGATGTGTTCCTGCCCTGTCCCAGTTTAGCTGCAGGTGTTGGGAGCGAGCAGGTCTTTAAGAGGCTTATTCAGAGAGAGCCCTGACATGGCACAGCCTGCACGTGAGACAGAGAAGAGCAATTCACTGAGTAACAGATGAGATTACAACTCCCCAAGGACTGGGCTTGAACCCCCCTCTCCAAGAGTGCATGTGCAGTCCTCCCCCAGACCACTCGGCAATGTGGGGAGGCGGCTAGGAAGGCCAACTGCACCTTGTCGTGCATCCACAGATGCATCTCGAGCAGGTCCAAGGAGGTGATCCTCCCCCTCTATGCGGCACTGGTCAGGCCGCAGCTGGAGTACTGCATCCAGTTCTGGGCGCCGCACTTTAAGAGGGATGTGGACAGCATCGAGAGGGTCCAGAGGAGGGCCACTCGTATGATCAAGGGACAGCAGGGTAGGTCCTATGAGGAAAGGTTGCGGGACCTGAACCTGTTCAGCCTTCAAAAGAGAAGGCTGAGGGGGGATCTTGTGGCCTGTTATAAACTGGTTAGGGGGGATCAGCAGGCGCTGGGGGAGTCCCTGTTCCCCCGAGCGCCGCAAGGAGTGACCAGGAACAACGGTCACAAGCTGGCGGAGGGAAGGTTTAAGTTGGACATCAGGAGGCGCTACTTCACAGTCAGGGCGGCTAGGGTCTGGAACCAGCTTCCAAGTGAGGTGGTGCAGGCTCCCACCCTGGGGGTTTTTAAGAGGAGGTTGCATGACCACCTTACTGGGGTCATTTGACCCCAGTACTCTTTCCTGCCATGGCAGGGGGTCGGATTAGATGATCTGCTCAGGTCCCTTCCGACCCTAGAAACTATGAAACTGCATGTGGTACCACGTGGTAGCTGGAGCCAAAGCAAAGGTCCGTGCCCACAGACATGCTGTGAGAGGCTGAGGACCACTGGCTGAAGGAGCATGCATTGGGCTAAAACACCGCCCAGGGACACACAGACACCATGCTGCGTCCAGGACCATGACTGCTTGTCAGATTTGCTCAGGCGGAGCTGCCTGCCGAGATGATTCAGATGCTCCTGGAGGATATGCTGCTCTCAGGATGAGCTCAAAGACTGTGATGAGGAAGGAAAAACAGCTCTGGGCTCCCAGAAGATGCCCAGGGCACACCTTGCTCTGGTGAAAGTGAGGGATCCTGCATGCTGAGAAAGGCCTCTTTTCCCAGGAAGAGTGCTAAATAAGGTGCATGACTCAAATGTGAATGAAACAGGGCTTATAAGAGCAGCTGCTTTCAAACTCTCTGCAGCACTGAAGTCCTGCGCTGCTGTGATCCTCAGCCATACGGTACTGCCCAGCCCCACCGTATCTCATCCGACAGGGCTACAGCATGTCTGCTACCTTGCTCTCCACACTACTGGAAAGCAAACAGAAGTTGGATTTTAGAAGCTTGCTACCAACACCCCCTCCCCCACTGCAGGATTATTCTGGGTAATATTATTATTAGCTGCTTCTTAAAGCCACATTACAGGCCTAAGTGATTCTTTGCCAAGTTGCAGATGGGGTCCCCAGGTGGGGAAGCGCAGGCGGGCTCCACAAAGCAGAACGGGAGCAGCTGAATCTCACTTGCCTTCCACTCCCTCCCAAAAGAGTTTTCCATAAACATCAAAGCAACAGCATTTGCCAGCAGCAGCAGCCCTGGGAGCCGAGACTGCCGTGGGACCAAAACAGGAGTTTCCGTTACTGCTGGAGACTGGGCAGTCTTCCATGAACAACATAAGCAACCACTAGGTGTTGGGCTGACAGATCCCTAAGCACCATCCTGCCAATCCCAAAGAGCTGTGGTGCTCATCTGGAGAGACCCCTCCTCGCACCATGGGCTAGGGCTCTGTCCCGTTGGCCACTGCAGTCTATCAGGTCTTCGCCAGCTTGAAGAGATCACCAGAGCATGACCAACCTCACCAGTGATCAGCCAGGATTTTCCTGCTTCATGTCCAGCCACAGGCCATAGTTCTCACCCCAGCACACTCCCTGTGTGGTCAGTCCACAGAAACCAGCACCCATCTCCAGCCATTGCCTATGGATGCGGCCATCACCGATGGACACTACCTTCACAAACAGCTTGCTGCCATAGCACAATCGCATCCCCTCGAAGGAAGCCCAGCTGGAGCTTTCTGACACCCCACTGCCTGGTATTGAGGCTGCTGCTGCTTCAAGAATGCTCCCTCTGGCCCCACCACAAAGACACAAAGGAGGCGATAACCACAGGTAGCTCATACTTGGGGCTGGGAAGGTATTTTCCATTTAGAAATCAAGCAACAAAGATGACAGGGTCGGGAGGCTCCTGTCCCGGTTCTTGCTATGATCACGATGAAGACCTGAGAAAACGATCCCACCTAGGGCAGATGTGTCCTACACAGCCACCCAAGGCAGCTTTGCAAACACGTTTGCTTTGCATCAGGATGCGACAGCCCGGCTCTGGGCTGGTTTCCCCGCTGCATGCTGTCTCAAGGCGGGTTTTGTAATGCCCTTAAACATTTTTTAGAAAGCACACTAGCAGCTGAGCCTCTGCGACAGAAACCCGGACTTCTTGCCCTGCAGAATAACAGCTCCTGGCGCATACCCTACAGCCCAAAGAAACGGAAAGGATGGTTTGTTTCCCACTGAAAAGCCAAGCACATTTATTTTCTGCCTGTTGCTAACTCTGAGTCTGGTTGGAAACCTGGCCCACTGTGCTGGCGAGCACAACTCCTCCACACCCTGACGTCTGAGCAGGGAGGGACAGATGAAAACCATACACAAGATCTCTCTCTGGACAATCAAAAGCAAAGTTCCCTCGTGCCAAAACACCATCCTTCCCTCCACCTCTCTCTCATTAGGAAGGGCTAAATGCTGCCGTCTTGTCTATTAAAGATCGGCTTCACCTGCAAAATTCACCTCTGGGCTCAGCTTCCAAATGCTCCCAAGGCAGGGGGTGCTGGGATCTGGGCAGCTTGTTCAGTGCTGATGGGGATTTCCAATGCCCCAAATCTCTGCCCCATTTGCAGTGGGTGCTTTGTTTGGCCCCTTGTCCGCTTTTGAGGAAACAGGCACTACTCTGGAGGAGCTCAGAAGGGCTCTCCCCCTTCTTTCCATTGTGTCCCGTTCCTCCTCCATCACGAGCACTGCTTGTGCTTTCTGGTTCACGACTGTCAGCAGTCACTGGAGTCTGGACAGAAGAAACTGGATGTGGCCCCCACATCCACCCATGCGCAGCCTCCCCACACACCCCTTCTTCTCGGCCTCGGAGCCAGGATCCCCAATCACTCCCTGCCTGGCTCAGCAGTCCCACACACTCAACACAGGGCAGGATTAACCTCGCAGTCTTTGTGCTGGCCCCAGACAATAGGGGAACACATTAACACTGATCGCTGGAATCATCGGGAAAACCAAGGAGCAGTTGCCAGGACTCCACATGGCCAAGCACTGTACCTCCATCTCTGCAGGGCACAACGGGAAAGAAAACGTGCCCCTTGGTCCGGCCAACAGCCTCCCCCACCACCCAGGCAGGCAGAGGGGAGACGGGAGGAGAGCAACGAGCGACAGGACCCTGCCAGCTGGAGTCCCAACAGCTATTATTAGTTCTCACTGCACAAGAGATGAGCTGCGGGGCAGGGGGGGCAAGGTTCTGAGGACGTCAGCACGTCTCCTCTGGGAAGGCAGTTGTGGCCACTTGGCCGCTGAAAAGGGGGCTGGTTCCTCTGTGCCTGTGATCTCCCTGTTGTGGCAAAACAAGCAAGAAAAAAAGGAGGGGGGGGGGAGGTTAGAGAGACCTGGATATTCACAGGCAAGAACTTCCTCCAGTTCAGAGACCCATATAACCCCCTCCAACCCTGCTCATACTCCTTCCGCCTTTCAGTGACTTGGGCCATGCGTGCACAGGGATTTGGTAGCTCTGGCTGCTGACTCTACACTTGCCCTCC